CGGGCCTTTCGCCGGCCGGTTCAACTGGGCCACTAAGCCGAGCCGAACCAACTAATCCGCGCCGCTTGCGCGCTCCGCGTATGTGGCAGGATTCGAGCTTGTGACCCCTTACTTACCACCGGCGGCAGCAAGCTCCGACCGCAACTTACCACAGGAGGCGCGGGGGGGGGCCGGGAGGGGGGGGAGATCGGACCTGCCGCCGGCGGGTTTAACTGGGCAACTAAACCGAGCCGAACGAACTAATCTGCGCCGATTGCGCCCTCCGTGTATCTGGCAGGATTCGAGCTCGTGACCTGTTTATCATTGCAAAACGTTCTTACACGTCTGTGCAATTCAGCCCCACCTGATGCCGCGCACCAGTCACTTCTATATCGACACCCACTCTGGGATCAAAGAAACAAAAAAAAAAACAAAGAAGAGAGAACAAAAAAAGTAGGGTTTGGAAGCATAAGAACAGTTGCATTTCCCGCCTTCTGATCTTGCCGATGACTACGTGAAAGCCCACCAAAAGAACGGACAAAAATTACGTCGTCGCCGCACCTTTCCTGTCCCGGAGAGGGAGATACAGAGGGAGAGAAAGAGAGAGAGAGAGAGAGAGAGAGAGAGAGAGAGAGAAATAGAGAGAGAGAGAGACGGAATGAGGAAGAAACAAGAATAGAACAGGGACAAAAAGATTGCTTGCAATGTATTACTTCAATTTTTTTGTTTCTTGCTTGCTTTTGGAGGAGAAAGACAAGTGGTCAATCATTGGCGAACCGCGCTTTTTTGTTCGTGTCTTCTTTTCCTTCCCCTTTTCCTTCCCCTTTTCCGTTACTCATTTGCTTGCAACATTTCTGGATGCCGTTGCCAAAAAAGAAACGAAAAGCGAGAATAGCAGACATGATGGATAAGGACTCGGATTATCCTTAAGAAAAGTGGTCGGCTGTATAATAGCCTGTATTCACACAACAACCCAGCAATCCTCCTGTATTCCTAGCAGATTGCCGGTCCAATCCCCTAACAAGCACGGCAGAAAGCCTGGGGAAGAGGAAGGAGAAGAAGGGGGGGGTGAAGGTCGCTGGGGGAGGGGGGAACGCGGAGAAAGACTGAGAGAGCACACCGGGGGGCCTCTCCGTGTGCATGACACAGAGACAGAGAGAGGGAGGGAGGGAGGTTAAGAGAGAGAGTGGAAGAGAGACATGCATACATACATATACATATACATACATAGAGCAAACACACCGACAGAGAGATTTAGCCCCTGGTGTGTCCTTGACTTGATGGAGGGTTGAGAATGCAGAAGGCTGTTACAAAGACCGTATCCAAAATTCTACTGCAGATTCGATCGCGCGATCTGACCTTCCTACTCCATCCGACGACATGTTAAGCAAAATGAACGATGGCTAAACGAGCATACTCGCAGTCTGTCTTTCCTGGACGCATCTGAGCACAATAAAGGCCAGATTCAGTCCTGACAGCACGAGTCTGAATACATGCCCCAACAGAGTCAATCACCAACAAAAAGACGACGAGGCAGCGAGATGCCTCTCTCTCTCTCTCTCTCTCTCTCTCTCTCTCTCACACACACACACACACACACACACATACACACACAATCCCGCACGAGAGCGAGGAAAAAGGGGAGGGAGGGGGGCGCGAGCGGGCAAGACACGAAAAGAGGCACAGAGAAAGAGAGAAGAGTCATGCTCTTTCTTCAATCCTTCCCTTTGTCCATCAACCCAAGTTCTCAACCATGTTCTTTATTTTTATTTACTAAATACAAAATGAATAAATGGGTGGTTCGATGGATGGATGCATGGATTCATATTTAGATAAAACGGGTTTAAAAATGGGTAAACAGGATAGACAGGAGGATAAACAGATAGATTTATACGCATACACTGCGTTATATCTAATGGCTCGGCAGGGGGTGCAGAGAGATGAACCGAAAACCACACAGACGTTAAGTAAGAGAGAGGGGGTGAGAAAAGACAGAGAGAGAGAGAGAGGGAGGGAGGGAGAAGACTTACCTCTACACAAAACCGGAGAGACCAGCAGCGAGACAACCATCACCATTAACAGCACCGACCCCATCGCTCCCCTTGAGGAAACCATTTGATTATCGTCCACCAGAAAGACCCCGCCTCCGCTCCCTTCTGCTCTTGCCTTATGAAATGCCACGTGCCCTTCCCTGGTCAAAAGGCGACAGAATTTCTCGGCTCAGGGCCAATACAGTAATAATAGTTTTCTTACAAAAATAAGGATAGGAAATGCATGGGTCGTTCTAATTAGTGACCATGTGTAGAATTGTCCCTTCTTGCATCTGGCCGACTTTTTCTTTTTTTCATGTATACTTTCTTTACTAAAACCTTCATTTAGTGTTCACATTACACTACAGATGCGAGAGCTGCTGCTGTACCAACACCCTATGGTCACAGACCCCCTTTTTTTTCACTGCTTTTCACTCCACCTCCCTCTCTCCCTCACCAAAGGAGTGCACGCGGAAGAAAAATGTGTTCAACCTACTATAGAAAACTTAAACAGACCAATGTCTCGCCTTCCCTAGTTACCCGGAGGCCTCCACCGTTTTCAGTTTGTTCCCTCGATTGATCATCCGATGGCCACAGATTTTTTTTTTCCTTCTGCAAGGTCTGACCCGAATTTTCATCTCTCTCTCTCTCTCTCTCTCTCTCTCTCTCTCTCTCGCGCGCGCGCGCGCACACGTAGGCGTCGTCGGGGTGACAGGTTGACGGTTGCGATCGGCGATCGACTGAAAGAAGGGCTCGAAAGAGATCAGCGGAAACAAGAGGGTGTGGAGGGTCTTCCAGTTGGGCCGATGATGTGAAGAAAAGCAGGAGAGAAATCAGAAGAAGAAGAACACAGAGGGAAAGGGGAGAAGTGATAGAAGGAAGAGGAGGAAGAGGAGGAAGAGACGAGAGGAAGGCGAGGAAGAGGACAGGAAGAGGAGGAAGAGAGGCGAAGCAGAGGGAAAGCTGAGGAGGTGAAGGAGTTGAGAAGGAGGAAACACCTGGGATAAAGGGGGGAGTTTGCTTCGTGCACGACCACGGCAAGCCGGAGGAGTCAGGGGAGAAAATGAGGAGATAAAGAGGAAAGGAAAGGAGAAGCTGAGGAGATGGTGGAGGGAGTCTTTTTGGGGAAAAGGAAGAGGACAGGAAGAGGAGAGGAAGAGGAGAGGAAAAGGAGGAAGAGGAGACGAAGAGGGAAGCAGAGAGAAAGCTGAGGAGGCGGCGGAGGAAACACCTTGGGGAGAAAGGGGGGGAGGTACTTTCGTGTAGGACCGGGGCAAGACGGCCAGCAAGGCGAAGGCAGGGGACATGAACGGAGTGGGGAGAAGCAGCCGCACCTGAAACGGAGCGATCAGCACCTAGAAATCGCCGAGGGTTTTTCCTTCTTCTTGGGTGAAGGAGACTTTCAAGACGGTCAGCGACTGGCATACGCAGCTCATGAAGCTGAATGGTGCAAAACAACTAACTGTTCTTTCACACATCACGCGTTCGATTCCCGGTCGCTCAAGCTGAACACAACAACGTCAGGGTCTACCCTTTTCCCAAAACGAAAGGAGCGAATAGCTCGGATGCTTCCCAGCCTCATTCTTTCCTTCGAAAAAAAAAATTGAAAAAAAAAATTGAAAAAAAAATTGAAGTGAGATGTTCCTCCACTGGCGAAGTGCTCTGTCTTTGCGTTAGCCGGGGCCAAGTCCCACTAGCAGCGTTGATCTACCTCAACGCCTGAATCTGGACGCGTTTGTGGAGACGTGCAGTTCAGGAAACTCAACACCATTTCTGCACATCTCCGCAAAATCGTCCACATTCAGGCGTTGAGGTAGCTCAACGCTGCTAGTGGGACTTGGCCCCCGGACCCCCCACTGGCGGCCCCACCCCATCGCTGACTATCACTGTTGGGGCGGGGAAGGACATGCAATCCCTTCATTGTGAGGTGGCTATGCTCGCAGGGGTCCCCTCTATATAGCCTTAGGAGTCGTGGTGGGTAGGTTTTTGTTTTTTTCATTTTCTGGTATGCTTCCCCATTGAGGCCACATGTCTTTTTTTTTTTTTTCCTTAGGTCACGTTTACAGGGTCTCTCCGACGGACAGAAACGAAGGAGAAAAAAAAAAAAGTGAAGAATCCAGGTATGTGTAACTTCGCTGGCACTCACCCGAAAAGCCCCTCCGCGGGGGCCAACGCTCCCCGCCACCAAATTAAAATTACGCCAGGCGAGTGAACTTCCGTACGAAACCGTGAGGTATTCGATCTCCTTCGCTCTAATCGGCGTCTGGGATTCGATCTTCTCACATGTAATCGGCAGTAAGGGATTCGATCTCCTCACCTGTAATAGGCGTGGCACAGACAGAACATTAATTGGACCTCGAATCCGAAGCGGCGCTGTTGATGGTCCGAAAGTAAAGGCGGGCAAGCAACTTCGAATGTAAGTATAAATAAGCGGCGGGTAAAAGCCGAAGCCCAGATTCGCAAGATCGCCGAAGTACATGACATACATACGGCCTCGCTCCACTACTCTCCACTACTCTCCACTACTCTCCACACGCACAAAGACAAGAGATACGGTGGTGTATCTTTCCATGGTCTATAGCTGAAGATTCATTCTTAGGGCCTCGTTAGACCCTCCTTGGGAAGGCTGTTCTCAGGAATTCGGCGTGGTTACACCGCGTCCTAATTCTCCAAATGCCTTGGACAAATGTGAAAAAGCTCCCGAGATATTTCCTTGGGATCCTCAGAATCCCCAGCCAAAGGGTCCTTGGATTCAAGGGGTCCTCGCGAGGTCCCTAGCTGCGATCGTCGTGGAGCATGCGTTGACACCGAAATTTGGAGTTGTTCGTGGTGCACAGGTCGTCCGTGGTCCAACGGGCAGACACCGCCGGCCTCCAGTGGGCGACGGACCTCCAACGGCGTTGTGTCGTTACCATTGGCGCGCAAAGACATGGGGATGGTTCTTCCACTCTGAGGCAGTTCATGTGGCGGGCTTCTCCTTGTGCGCGTCATCGGGCGTGGTGTCCAACGGTCAACTTTTTTGATTTTTTTTACTGCCAGCGTGTGAGCAGTGCCGGCCGACTGCAGTTCTCCTTGGCAGCGTGCATTGTCGGCCATTGACAGGCGCACGGGAGCAAGCTTTGGTCGATGCACTCCTTGCCTTCTGCAATTCATGGCAGATGTCCTCCAAAGGCTCCCGCTCCTACTGCTGGCCACTCTTCTCATGCTCCTTGTCGTCTTGTTGCGTGTCTATGTCGTTGTCCGGGGTCCAGGGAGCAGACGGAAATGATGCAAAATGCGACGATGGAAAAGCGGGAAACCTCCAGCGAACTGCAGAGACGTGTGATCGACTTCTCCAGTCTAGACCCGACGGTGACGGCGCGTCGTACACCCGCGTATGACCCGATGTTGTACAGTCATCAGCCACCACACGAGCAGCCGTTACCGCCGACTGGGCGTCGATTTCCCGTATCCCTATAGCGGATTGAGTAAACAACCACAATCAACTTGCTTATGCCACATGGACCGATTATATCGAGCCGACTGGGCGCCGATTGCCCGTATCCCCACAACAACCATTTCCAGAAGCACCTGGCCTGGGAGAACGGTCAGGTGCCCCTAGGAATTGAGGAGCTTGGGTTCCCAAGGGGAAAACCAAGGCTCAGAGCTCCTGGCCATCGATTTAGATCAAGGGTCAAGAGCACCCACAAATTTTTGTCTGGCTGTGGGCAAAGCAGCTGCCCACATGCCTTCGGCTGGCTATAAAAGCCAGCAATCCACCCAGCAGCCTCACAATTGTGGCAGTGTTGTTGGGGCATTCACTCGTGTGAATGCTGGTTGGCTGCTGCATGCTGCTGGAGAGGGGCGGTGCTGCTGGTGGAGGTGTTGTTGGTGGAGTGGAGGTCTGCACGGAGTTGGAGGAGGAGAAGGGAGGCAGCCATAGCTGAGGGCTGTGAGCTTTTTGCCCCACCCTTGTGCGTGTGTTGTGTGTGTGGGCTGGTGTTGCGGCGGTAAGGTTGCGTCGGGGTCCGGACGGTGCGGCAAGCGGCACCTATTTTAGTGGGGTTGTGGTGCCGAACTGCCGCTGCGGCATCAAGACCTTCCTAAGGGAAGGTGTTGTCGGACTGCTGCCGCGGCATCAAGACCTTCCTAAGGGAAGGTGTTGTCTGACTGCTGACGTAGCGTTAAGACCGTCTTAAGGGAAGCTGCCATCGGATTTGCCGCGCGGCGCCGATAGTTTTTAATGTGAGTGTGGGGAGGTGTTGCTCAGCGGCGCGGCAACGGCAATGTACGCGGTGGGATCATGCTGCCGAAATTGGCGGCGACAACAACACTTTCATTGAGTTTATGTTGTCTGGTTGGCGGCACGTCGACGGTTCTTTTTCTGAGGGGCAGTGTGCCAGATTTTTGCGGTGCGGTGAATCAGTCACTTGAAAGTGTGTTTTGGCGATGGTGCCGCATGACAGTTGTGGTATTGGTTTTGATAGCGCGGCGAGCGACAGTCCCGCAATTATTTTTTCGAGGTATGTAGCGGCTATGACGGACCAGCATGGCCTGGAGTTTGGGCTAGAGCTGGTACGTGATTGGGATTGCGCGACACTGGTGCACGATTGGGTCTGTGTGGCAGTGGTGCATGGACCGGTGGCATGGAGAAGATGCAGAGTGAGTGCACACGACAGTGATTGTTGGGCACGCGACATATGCAGTTTTCAGCCAGGGCTAACTTTTTTTTTTTTTTTTTTTTGCGGCGCTCAGTGCAAGCGGTTTTCAGTTCTGAACCACCTGGTATTGCGGCGATCGTGTGGGACTGGTTGTTGTGATCGAGACCGACATGTTGGTGTGGCTATTGTGAGCGTACATGGTGATTGGAGGTGGCATGGACTTGCGGTTGATTGGGACTGTCCTTAGAGGATGCGGTGCCATTTGAACTGCAATCGGGGGTGCGTTGAGACTGTCCGGTACGTTGAGAAGACGTGGGACTTATTCTTTGAACCACCCTCCTGGAGGGTTATTCCACTTGAGTTCTCTCAATGGACCCGACTCTTGCTCGCTTGGGCACTTGGTGGAGGACGCAGACCGTGATTCGGGAGAGAGGCCACAACTTGTGGAGTTATGAGGCGTATATTTTTCTACGGCGATCATTTCTTCCGATTGGAATATTACTTAGACTTTTTTGAGTGGGCCGTATCAGACTTCAAGGTCAGTCAGTTGATTGACTTAGATTTTCCTTCACACCTGTGTGAACCCACACTTGCTTGACCATGTTTGTTGAATGTTCATTGAAAAGACAAAGGAAATATGTGTTCGCATGTGAATGGAAAAGTCTGACGTGAGTATGGGATTGTACTGGTTTCCGTTGAACTTGTTTGTTGTGCTTCGCGGTGGTCTGTGCAGGTAGGTAGAAGGATGCTTGAAAATGAGATTGATTTCAAGTTCGCCTATTGGAGAAATGGAAAAGGATTCTCTTTTGCCTGCATGTCAAAAAAGATTCGTTATTTTAAAAACTTTGGTTCTATATGCATCATAAAATGAATTCAATTGAAATAAAGCAGATAAGGTCAAACGGGTTTTGATTGATTTTTTCTATCTCGAATGACCTTATCTTCTTATACATGTCTAAATGATTCTCGTAATCTATTTCCTTTAGTTTCTTTTTCATCTAAGTTACCCAGGACTTAGGAGATGAGAATAATTGAAACCTATTTGCGGTGAACACCTCCTATATCTCTAGGAAGCATCTGGGGCGGGGGGTCGTTGCTTTAAGAGCCGACCCTGTTATCGACCCAGAGATGACCGTTCTACAAGGGGGGGGGATACTTCGCCGATTCGGTGGAGACGGCCCGACTTCTGTGATCCGAGTCTTGTGCTCGGGCGAGGAGGAGGAGTACCCCAGACCACCTCCTAGAGGGAGAGGCATGCAACATGTCAAGCAATGCCCCTGTGCAAGAATCATTTGTAAAGCAACCTGTTATCCAAGAAGATTGAGAACATATGGAAATGGATAAGTGCGTGTCGAAGCTTAGGTCGGCGGTAGGCTGAAATGAATGACTTTGGCAATGCATCTCATCAAGTCAAATCTAGGGCAGCCGACTACCTTGTCGACTGCATTAAGGTTATTTTCAGTAGCCAACTCCTCGTTGGCGGTTGTATGATTGTTTTGTGGAGTTCGACCCGGGATGGTCGGATTTATTTTGAACTTGTGTTATTAAATATATTGTATGATGATTCAAATTTTTGTTTGTTATCATTTCAGATTTAATATGTTTCTATCATCTATGGTTGATTTCTTTTGATGTAATTATTTGTGGATATTGTAACTTTCTTTTGACTATCTTTTGACTATGTGTCTAAGGGACTAGGATGAAGTTAGGTTTCACGATTGGTTGAGACCGTCCTAGTCGACCGACGTCTGCTTTG